GTGTCAGTTTAATTTCTGCTATCATTCGGGAGATTTCTGTTCATGGTCTCCCGACAGAGTGAAGATCTCTCCAAAGGGAAATCCCCTCTAGAGGTTGTCACCAGAGCAGGTGTCTTCATGAAGTATTTTGGCTCTCCTGTTTTGGTGACAACTGAAATTGTTGGATCCTGTGTGCCCGGGCTTGGGCTGTGTTCACACTATAGTGTTAATGTGTGCAAGAACTCAGCTTCAGGGCTGCAGCAAAAATGCCATCTGTCTTCATCAGCAGCCAGTATGGCCATCAAACATGACTCATTCAAGTGAATGGAGCTGCACCATAACTGCATGCGATGCTCGTAGGGTGTAGTGGAGCAGGCTTTTCGGGGTTGAAATGGGCAGTGAGATGGTGACCTATCCCCTCCCAGTCAACTGGTAATCTGGATTGCTTTTTAGAGGGGGGCATCAAGAGTTTCCACCAGTGTAAATGAGTCCTAATCATTTTTAGGGCAAGATATTGGGGTGTAACCTCTTTTGAGGTCCAAGCAGTCCCTTAGCAGAAGGGGGTGCTTAAAAGCTTGTCTTGAGAAAAATTAAACTTTTGGTGCAAATAAGACAGGTGTCAACTCAAAGGAAGACTGGGCCAAGGGGCTTTGTAACTCTGATGCCCTGTAAAAGGCTGCACTGCTTCCACTAGACATCCCTAAAGTCTTCCTGGTGAAGAGGTGTAAAAAGTCCCCTCCAGTGTCCTATCAGAGTGCAGGATGAGAACCGGGTGCAGACCACCCACCTCGGCATGGATGGTGTACAGTGTCTGAGCAGAAGCCTTGCTCTATGCCCCACTGGAGGCTCTCCACCCCTGCCAGCCAGTTCAGGAACCCAGAGGCACTGTCCAGCCTGACCCACCGAGTCAGCAGAGTCCCTGGAGTGGAGTTTCAGCAAGGGATGGGGCTTAGGAGGAGGGAGGGAAAAGGGAGAGCAGGAGGGGCACCAAGTCTCTGAACCATGGGCCTCTGGGTTGTGCTTGCCCCCCCAGGCCAAAAGTTGCCAGTCGGCCTGTGTCAACTGTTAGGCTCCATGCACACTGGGCGTTTTTAATAACTATGGTAACGTTTGCTGTGCAACGCCAGGTTCACATCTCCACGTTCCTGAAGGCCACGTTTTGTGGGGGCACAAGAGCTCATTCATTTGACTGGACTCCCGTGCCCTGGGACACGCAGGAAAGAAGTCCCTGCACTTCTTCGGAAAACGCAGACCGCACGGGAACTTCGGTTCTCAGTACGGTTGCGATTTCCAGTGTGGGCAACATGCCATTAGAACCAATGGCACCCACCTGCCATTCCACATCCCGCTGTGTGGGTGGTGTGGCTGCACAAATTTTTGTGTGGATTGCAGCAGCACAACCCACACATGTGAACCAGGGGTAAAGTCATGCTAAAAACGTGAGTTTATTTTTAGTGCTTTTGCATTGGCTTTTAGCCACATTTTCAGTTTTAATGATTTTTTTCTTTTCATTCAAAAAAGCTGGTTTGCTGCATTAGAGCTTTTTTTTTTTTTTTTTTTTTGCACAGCTAAACTCCTAGAAACCCACTATTCCTGTTTGGTTTTTTTTTTTTTTTTTTTTTTTTCCAGCCTAAAAACACTGATTAGTCTATGCATGGACACATAGGATAAAATGCTGCAGCGTTTACTGGCTGTAGGAAAAAACGCCAAAAACAGCCGCTGTTAAAAACGTCCGGTGTGCATGAGGACTTTTCATTATCTTAGATGGATTCTTGTATAAAGCACGTGTCCTTGTAACCGGATCCTCCGCCTTGTTTGTAATACATGGAGATTACCAGACGTCTCATTATGGCTGCTCTATGTAGGTGAGAGTTCACAGGAAGACAAGGCGTTCTGTCTCCCAGGCATTACATAAACATTGATTATTGTCCCTGGCTGGCTGCCTGGTTGTGGAATAGTGACTTCTAGGCACATCTAGAAGTCCTGAACCTAAAATGTCATGGTCCCTGCATCATCCCCATAGTTACCGCCTGCATGCGGTGGCTCCAGCCACAAATGAATGTGACACTCATGGGGTTTGGGCCACAACCTATGTGAATGAGCCCTAAATGTTCTGATTTGCTGTTTGGAGGTCTTTGGGGTCTGACAAATGTGTGGCCGGGTTTCTGAGCTGTAAGTATAGGTTAATTCGTGCGGTTCTGTGTGCCGTATTTGTTCGGGCGCAGCTCAGCATTCATTTTGGACTGCAATGCCTGTAATTCCTGAAAGAAAAAAGGTCCTTGTGCATGGAAATTGCATGGCGCTTTCCATCTGCATTACCTTTGTCAGTACATGGGGATGCCATTAGAGTTGATGGCATGCCGTGTGTTTTTGAAAGCGGTATGTTGAGTGCAATTTACACTCCGCACAAATGTAAAAAACTCCAACAGAAACCAAAAACCAGCATTTGAATCTTCTTGCTGCACTGAACACGGAATCTAGCACTCGCTGAGGTGCCACCCTTGGTGTATCGGGGGATCTTGATACTAGCAGAAAAGAACAAAACGGGGCGCACTCTCCTTGTGCATTACCATATTAGGAAATTTATTATAACATCACAAATGCATATTCACAAAACAAAAAGGTCATCAAAACAGACAAGGAGTCAAAGATGCCAGTTGTGGACAGCAGAGGTCCTCTGGTAAAAGTGCCAATGCGTTTCGGGAGTCAAATTCTCTTCCTCAGAGCAATAGGTGACTCCCAAAATGCATTGGTACTTTTACCCGAGGACCTCTGCTGTCCACGACTGACATTTTGACTCCTGTTGACCTTTTTTGGATCGAGTATGCATTTGTAATTGTATACATTTCTTATCACAGTAATGCATGAGGCAAGTGCGCCATTTTTGTTCTCCGCATAAATGTAAACCTAGCCTAAAACTGTGTGGGACTGCTTGTTTTGAGTGGAGAGGGGTTAGAACCCATGTCAGGTGCTGATTGTTTGTGCCCCTGTTGAGGAGATTAATCCTTTTTCCAGATCACCATTGAAAGTTAAAAAAAAAAAAGTGGTGTCACCAGAAAAAAGCAAATCCTCCAATGACACTAGTTCTGGTGGCAACCAGGGATTCCCTCACTTTGTCCCATAGCCAAAACAAAAGTGAAAAAATGCCTCCAAAGTGGGGGCAAATCTCCCCCCAGTGTCACAGATGGCACAAGGGATATACCCTCCCTTACTCCAGAACAAAAAGGTTTTGCCTTTTGTAGTAGGTTATTGGGCTCGTATTCCTTTCAGCAGCCTGTCTGTACAATATCTGTATCCTGACACAACACATCCAGATCTTATCTGCCCTAACTACATCCTGAATGAAAGCCATGGTCTCCTATTACAGCAGGCCCGGGACACAGCTGTTGGTCACCTGTAACTATGGCAACCTGCCAGGAGGACACAATGGCTTAGTACAGGCCTCAGATTAGTGTCTAGAGGCCTTATTCATATGCACTTGGATATCATGTTTTAATGCTTCTGTACTGCCTGTGCGTTGGCATCACATTGAGCATTTTGGGGCATGTCGTCTTCTCTATGCCTTGGTGCAACCAGTCGGCAGGGTGCAATGGCCTAGTACAGGCCTCAGCCAGGCCTATAGTACTTGTGGTAGGCTAGGTGTCATCTGATTGACCATAGGCCTCATGCACATGGGCTTAGAGATGAGACAAAGGTTTTAGCCATGTTCAATGCTCCATATTGCCTGTGTATTGGCATCAAATTCTAGGTCATGTCCCCTTCTTTAGGCCTTGCTGCACCCAGCCAGTGGGGAAACAATTGCCTATACAGGCAAGACTGTATTACTGGTGTGATGAGGCCCCATTCACATGGGCTTAGATATCCTGTCTTAATGTTCCCATATTACCTGCACATTGGCATCAACATCAAGAATTTTAGGGCATATTGCCTTCTCTAGGCCTTGTTGCAACTATTCAGCAGGACACGATGGCCTAGTACAGACCTCACCCTTGGTTGCAGTACTGGTGGTAGGATCCATGTCTTCCAATAGACCAGAAGCCTCATACACATGGAATGAGGAAGACAAAAGTCTTAACCGTGTTTATGTTCCAATGGCATCTCAGATTTCAGGGCATGTTGCCTTCTCTAGGCCTTGCTGCAACCAGTCAGCAGGACACAATGGCCTAGTACAGACCTCAACGATGGTTGCAGTACTGGTGGTAGGATCCATGTCCTCCAATAAACCAGAAGCCTCATTCCCATGGGATGAGGAAGACCAAAATCTTAGGAGGCCATTGGACCATAACATAGCTAAGACTTTGGTCTTCATCATCCCATGGGAATGAGGGTTCTGGTTTATTGAAGAGGTTCCCTTACTTTGGAGAGATTTCTTCACTTTGTTTTTGGCTATGGGCATGAAGTGAAGGGCAATTTTCTCAATTGGACTCGACAGGGGGTTACTTTTCCCAGATTGAGAAGCTGTGCCTTTAGTTCTATTTTAGGAAAACTGTATCTGAGACAGACCTGCTGGTCAAGATTTGGAGTTTACACTTTAAGGTGACCACACATGGCCACTATCTTAGATTGCCAGCTGTAGCACGGGTTAAACCTGATCTATGTATAAATTGAATGGCCCTTTTTTTATGTAGACCACTATACATCACAAATTTTCAATTTAGCGAGAAAGTAATGTTAAGGGCCTACCTGATTTGGATTAGAGATCTGTACAATCAGATAGAAAATCTTTGCAGGCCACATGGTACTAAGATTGTGGCATATTGCAAACTCTAGAGAATGCAGTGTTGCAGATAATAAACAATTTGTGAAGTAACGAGTTCATTGCCTTGTACTTCAAGGTTATGAAAATGGCTGACACCAGTGCTGGTCTCCATTGTATAGCCCTAAAAGCCATTATTAAATGTGTATCTTTTCCTTTCCAGACTCCGGCGGCAGAGTTCGTTTGCCTTGTCTTATCACTACAACAAATCCCCTGGACACTCCAGTCCTTTTTGGGTTTATACATCAAAGTATAACTTGTCAAAATGGTTGGCTTCAAACCCACAGATGTCCCGCCCACCGCAGCTGTGAAGTTCGTCGGTGCTGGCACTGCAGCTTGTATAGCTGACCTGTTCACCTTCCCCCTGGACACCGCCAAAGTCCGACTGCAGGTTAGTAAAGAACACAAAACATGATAATTTTTCTAAATGATATGAAATTAATATTCTGTAATATCGGTAAACCAGAGTTTGGTTGCTGCACTTGAAGCCTTTTGGCCTTATTAAAGGGTCAACTCACCAGAAACTGGCATTTCATTGGTTCCTGGAGAGTTAAACAATCTGACATTTCTTCTTTTGGGGACTCTGTTGGTGAGATCTTTGCTTGGAGTTCCTGGGTACATACACCTGGTGTGCCCATTAAGAGGGTTCCTAGGTCTAAACACCTGATGTGCCTCTTATGAGGAGTTTCCACCCTCTGCACTAGTTTCTGTATCCTGCACACCTGTTGTGTCCACTGTGTTCCTATCACTGCCTGGAGTCCCTGGGTCTGCAAACCTTGTGCCTATCATAAGGGCTTCTACCATTCCTGATCTAAGTTCCCTGGTCTACACACCTGCTGTCCTTTTTTTTTTTTTTTTTTTTTTTTTTTTTCTCTATGAAGGGTTCCCACCATCCCTATTGGGTTTGTATTATGAAGAATGTAACCGGAAAAGCTAGCACACAAAGATGGACAGGAACTGAGCTGGGAATTGCAAGGGAGATCTTGCTGTTGAAAGTATGAGGAGCAGGAGCTGACCCATCCTTTCATCTAGAACTTTAACATTTTGGGGACCCATCAAAGGCAAAGCCAAATATATTCAAACTGTTCACTGATACTACTTTTTGTTTGCACAGATTCAAGGAGAGGGAAAGACCCCTGTCAACTTGAAGACCGCCCAGTACAAGGGAGTCTTTGGGACCATTTCCACCATGGTCAAGACAGAAGGGCCCAGGAGCCTGTACAATGGGCTGGTAGCGGGTCTACAGCGACAGATGAGCTTTGCGTCCGTCCGAATTGGACTGTATGATTCTGTCAAGCAATTTTACACCAAGGGATCAGAACGTAAGTGGATACATCTTAATGTCTGTCATGGAAACCCATTTCTTTGGCCTAAAACTTACAACTGGATGTTTATTTTGTGGATATTTTATGCTTTCAAATGATTCAGAGGACAGTATCCATTTTCAGGCATGCAATGCTTCCATTACTGCATTCAGCATTATCTTCATCTAAACTTGTCAATGGACTTTTCTGAAGGCACATTGTGTGGGCTGCAATTTTTATGAAATTCTAGCTCTAGCCCTCTCTAGAAGAAGTAAAAGGCTTTGCCTTTTGATCATATCTTTAACAAAAACCTCGGATGTGCTTTTAGGACTTTTTAAGGTGGTAATTATCTGAAATGGGTTAAATTTCATCTGGAGTTCCGAAATCTTAGAGGCTTGTACAGCAGATAGAAATACATTCTCTACTGCATACTAGAGCAATATGTAAGCATACATACTGTTGGCTGGGTGGAAAGTCATGGCTAGGTCCCCTTGAATCATGGTTATGGGAGCTGTTCTCTTCTGCTCCATATGTTCTCTGTATGACTTAATCTGGCAATTTTTAGAATCTAATATTGAATTGACATACAATTTAACAGGCACATACATTAAGTGTCTTTGCTATGTTTTAGTACATCTCCACTACATGCAGCATTTTAGAGACCGAAATGTGAGTTGGCATAGATGACTTGACAAACAGATGTATTCTGAATTGGCTAGATTTGTGATATTGGGTTGTCAATGACCTTTTGACCATTTCTTACAGATGTTGGAATTGGAAGCAGATTGCTTGCTGGCTGTACCACCGGAGCCATGGCGGTAGCAATTGCTCAGCCCACAGATGTGGTCAAAGTGAGATTCCAGGCCCAGGCCAACACTTCCAGTGCTAGGCGGTACAAGGGAACAATGGATGCCTACAAGACTATTGCCAAGGAAGAAGGCATGCGCGGCCTCTGGAAAGGTTTGTCTAGCTCCTTTATTCATTCTTTGAAGAGTGCCCAGGGCTTGAGCTGGATGTTGGGTTTTAGGGATGGGATTATGCTTCCAAAATCTAAAGGCAATCAAAGTCAAAGTGGCCATTTCCACACAACAGATGGGATTAAAGAGCTGTCTTGGCTTTCATAGGGAATAGGTCTATGGAACAAAGTCTACCCATAAATGCTAAGAAAATTGAGATATTGACAGTTCATATAAGACTGAAGTTGTGTAGTAAATATTCTGAAACACGACTAAAATCCAAACTGGATTTTTAGCTTTGTATTGTACACAACTCTCTCTTTGCTCTGTCACCTTTCCCCACTCTTTAATGTTAAAACACTTTGGGTTTTGCACGGTCTTCCTGTCCTGGTGTCACAGGACAAAGTGGGGGGGGAAATCTCCCCAATGGGAGCAGTGATGTAAACAGTTCTGAGTCATACCTGCACTAAAGATCTCTTGCTGGGTTTTGGCTTTAAGATGTCCAAATGCATAACATCTATAACTGGAAGCCCTATTAGTATCTGGCAGTCTTCTGTACTGTAGTTGCATGTGACGAATAGTATTTATAAAACCCTCTCATGAAACTGGTCTAACCTGCTTAGTCATATTTCTATGGCAGGCCCTGGTATTACTGCTGAACTACTTCCCATGTAGCTTTTTCTTGTGGGGTAAGCAAAAAGGGAGCCTGTACTGCTTCAAGGTTCACCAAACCTGTGGTATGCACATGCTTTGAATGTGTTGCTGAAAACCATGCAATGTATCCTGTTATGCATTTTCTCTGCACTTGGCAAAGCTGATGGAGCTCTGACCAATAAAGGACTTGGCCAGTTAAAGTTGGGCCTCCTTCAGCCTTAGTGCCCCCATGTTTAACGGAAAGACAAGTGACTATAAAGCTACCTACATGTGACCCTGCCATACACTAGCTGAGCAGTTTTAAACAAAGGAAAGAAACTCGCCACCATGATACTATAGGAGTGTCTGCTCTACCCCAGCATGAACTGTGCAGACTACAAGCTGGTAAAAGCAGAATTCAGTACAACTTTGGTTCCGTTTAGAATTGGGAAATATCTACCATTAGTGTTTCCTTTAAATAGAATGCTAACCTACATGAATGTCTTTGTCCCCCACAGGTACCGCCCCAAACATCACCCGCAATGCCATTGTAAACTGTACCGAGCTGGTCACCTATGACCTCATCAAAGACTCCCTCCTGACCTACAACCTTATGAGTGGTGAGTTTCTGGATATTTACCCTCCCCAAGTTTGAAGTACAGACCTGGCTTCCTTCCAAAATCTAGGACCACTATTGGATTATCCAATTTATACGGCCAACTTAAGCTTCCGGCAGCCAGTTTTACCTTCAGCTGGCTGGACAAATTCCTCCATCCTTAAACAAGGTGGCTAGAGGAAATTTTCCATGCCCCTTTAACAAGTCTAAATGTTCAAACTTCTGGCACACAAGGCAGCCCACACAAAGATTAAGCCAGTCCCTGCTGGACTGTCAATTTCACTTTATGTATAGTTGGCTTAAGAGGTTTCACTTGGCAAGTCCTCCACTGAGTTGTTGCCATGGCTTGGCATTGGGTTGAAATTATGACAATACCTTGACATTAACCATAAGTCTGTAATCATCCTTAATCAGACAGTTTAACTGACAAGGACCAAATGAGAGATTCAGTGTTCGAGTTTACACACACCTTGTGTATAAAATTGAGGCACACCTTCATTTGGCACGAAGACATCAATTTTGAGTGTGCACATCTTGGGGCTAGTTGACACCAGGTGTGGTGGAGGTGAGCTGTCAGATATTTCCTGCACCGCCAAGGAACAATGCGTCATTTTTAATGGTGGCAGTTCATATGTCAGTGTGTTTAAAGTACTACGTGCATGATACAAACCATTGCATCACAACACAGCAAAGTGAAATTGCATGTCAAAGTTCTGGAAAAAAAAAGAGCAATGCACCAGAAAAAGCACATCATCCCTGTCACACACACAGCACACTCAATCAGCCTTGCGTTCTGTAGGGATTGCTGGTGTGAACAGCACTGTCCTCTCACAGAATGTGTAGCTGAAAAAATTGTTGCCCATAGCCGGTTTTTCCTTCATCCCCCTATACAGCGATGACATTGTGCCAACCTTCAAATGGTCCTTATGGGCATCGGCATCCACTCATGAGGTTTAAACTAGACCTGTCAGCATGGTTTCCTATGCAATCTCAATCTTGTGTCATTCTTGTAGACAACCTTCCATGTCACTTCACCTCTGCATTTGGAGCTGGCTTCTGTACCACGGTGATCGCCTCCCCTGTTGATGTAGTGAAGACAAGATACATGAACTCTGCCAAGGGGCAATATCGGAGCGCCCTGAACTGTGCCTTCACCATGCTCCAGAAGGAAGGACCAAAGGCTTTCTACAAGGGGTGAGTTGCTGCACTTCACAATACCAACCAACACCCACATGTCATAATGCTCCATAGTGCCCCTATTGATGTCAATCTTTGCATCCAGACTGTATTGTAATTGTCAGTAAACTTCTTTCCTGTGAAAGTACCCTTCCAAGGTTGCTTTTTTTGACCTGCTTTTGGTAATACTAAATAGTTGGCTGTCTGGCTATACATCAGCCCTGGAACAAGCATACAGTAAAAGGCTGGAGGGAAGTAAATTTTGTATGCCTGTTCCATGCCCAATATTGCACCTAGACTAGTGGCATTTTTATACTCCACAATGGCGACCAACGAATTCTCATGACAGCCAATCTTTAACATTGGCATGGATTTACCATGCTTCAATCAGCTCCTGAAACTTCACTGGTGTATTAAAACATTTGTGTAGCTTTTGAAAGTGTTGTAACCCCTTTTCGGTTTCATTAGGTCTGTCCCACTGCTGAAGATATTACCCCTGTTGGTCCTGGCAATGACAATTGTCACCGGGACAAAAGTGAGTTTGCTGCCAGAACAGAGGGGATATCTTCAGATGGGACACCCTTTCCAGCGACAACTCTTGAGGAAATTTCGCCTTGCCTAGGAGATTAAATTTAAACTCCTGTTTGTGTGTGAAGGGAAGATCCCCCAATGGGAAACAAGCTGATGGGCTTTAACCCTTTACTACTCAATCCAGAACAAAGATTTGGCTTATAGAAGACAAAGTAGGCTGCCAATATTCTGTTTTTCAATTCCTTATGGCAATCTCTCCTATTGACTATCACATGCTAATCCAGGGCAGGGGAATCACTTGGTGATTCTACACTGGTATTTAGTACACTTCCTTGGTACCTGGTTAGTGACTTTGTATTGAAGCCAATGCATAAGCATGACAACTGAGCATCTAACCTTTTTTTTTTATTGTACAGTATTTATATAGCGCCAAAGGGTATGCTCAGCGCTGTACAGTAGCAAGGGGGACAGAACATGAGACAATACAGTAACAATACAATACACGAGGGGTTCGAGGGCCCTGCTCTTTCGAGCTTACAATCTAGGAGGGAGGGGAAGGTGGTACGGGAGGAGATGGCTGTGGGGGATGGACTGGAGGAGGTTAGTTAGGTGAGGTCAGGTGTTGGGTGAGGTTGGGGTAGGCTTCCCTGAAGAGGAGGGTTTTCAGGGTGCGCCTGAAGGTGAGGAGGGTAGGTGACAGTCTGATGGATTGGGGTAGGGAGTCCCAGAGGATGGGGGAAGTCCTGGAGAAGTCCTTCAATCGGGCGTGGGAAGAGGAGACTAGGGAGCTAGAGAGTAGGAGGTCCTGTGAGGAGCGGAGGGCACGGGCAGGGTAGTACTTGGGTATCAGGTCAGTTATGTAGTTTGGGGCGGCATTGTGAATGGCTTTGTAGGTCAGAGTTAGCAGTTTGAATTTGATGCGTTGGGCAATCGGGAGCCAATAAAGGGATTAGCAGAGGGGTGGAGGATGTAAAGCGGTTGGTGAAGTGGATGAGTCTAGCCGCTGAGTTTAGGATCGACTGGAGTGGGGATAGCGTTCGTTAGGGTAGGCCAGTGAGAAGGGAATTGCAATAGTCCAGGTGTGAGATGAGGGAGTGTACGAGTTGTTTGGTGTCTGGGGTGAGGAATGGGCGTATCTTGGAGATGTTGCGGAGGTGGAGCCTGCAAGATTTAGATAGCAGTTGGATGTGGGGTAGGAAGGAGAGGTGGGAGTCCATGGTGACACCCAGGACTTTGGCGTGTGGGGTGGGAGAGATGGTGGCGTTGTTAGTAGTGATGGAGAGGATGGAAGGGGGCACGGGGTGGGGGGGAAGACCAGGAGCTCGGTTTTCAATAGGTTAAGTTTGAGGAAATGGAGCGACATCCAGTCTGATATGTCGTTTAGGAGGTGGGCGATGCGGGCCAAGAGTGAGGGGGTGAGGTGGGGGGTGGAGAAGTAAATTTTGGGTGTCAAATACAGGTGGTAATTGAAGCCATGGGAGTGAACAGAGGTGAAATGGCAGCTTTATTTGTTTGAAAAAGTCAGTGGCCACCATTCTTTTGTGGATTCATTTTATGAGGTACCATTATCCTGATTCATGTTTTTTGCCCTCTAAGTCTTAAATGTGGATGCAACATGCAGGGCTGCTGATAGGTGGGTATAGGCAATCATCCTGGCCCAGGCTCAATCAGGTCATCGGGATCAGATTCACCCCCAACCAGAACTTCTGCAAAGACAAGGTCCAGGGGGCTCAGAAGGAAGCTGTATAGGACCTTAATTTTTAATGGTGGCCCTGCCAGCATGCATCAAGTAGTCTTCAATCTTGTTCAAGTCTGGAACATGCTGCTTGATCAGGAGTTCTAAATTTCCTTTAGGATCTGCCAGACTGGTTCCTCCCATAAGTGTGTGTGTTGTCCTGCCATATACTGACTGACTTGCTCCTATGTGCCCACAGATTCATGCCCTCTTTCTTGAGGCTGGGATCCTGGAACATCGTCATGTTCGTCACATATGAACAGCTGAAGAGAGCCATGATGTCCGCTCGTGTCTCCTGGGAGGCCCCTTTCTGATCATGATGGCACCATCTTTCCCCTTCCCCACCTTGTTAAATTTGGGTGTCGCTACCTCTTGTAGCATTGTTTAATTACATTTTTAGCTGTCCAATCCCCATGTTTGTTCTCTGCTCCTTTCCTTCCTGGAGAAGTGACTACTTTTTTTAAAATGTTTGTATGGCTAATTTGGCATCCAATAGTAGACAACATTTGGTACCAGATTTTTATTCTTCCAGCAGCTGCTGTGCCAGATATTGTCTTCTATTGATTAAATTTTAAAGCTCTTCATGTTTAATGTTTCTGCACTTTATGTTAACGAAACCCTTTAGTGTGGCAGTGACGTGTCGGGCAGAACAGGAAGTATTTAATATCTGGAGGTTCTAACCCTTCCCAACTTCATCTAAAGATGAAAAGCTTTGTCTGGCATTGTACTCCCTCTGTCAAGTCTGTTTTGTTCCATCTTAAAGATTGTCACCCTGGCCATACAACAGCCATCTTGTTCTCAAACCTCTATTGACAAGATGAGGTCTACAGTCTGTGGAATAAACCTTTCACTTGCAGACTGGAAATCTTAAAGGCATTAACTCTCAAATACAAATAGTAGCTCTTGTATGGCTTACTAAAATTTTTTGTTTCCAATGGAATTTTAAACATTCAGTCATATTTGTACTGTAGTGTAAGTCGGTCTTTCTATTAAAAAAAAAAAAAGAAAAAAAAAAATGGGATTAAAAAAGTAAACTAACTATTGCATGCCTGGAATGACAGGTACACCCTGTGTGGGTGCCAACTTCTGTAAATCACTCTGCAGTACAAAGGGCTTCCAACTTGCCAACTTGGCATTTCGGTTTCCACATTGGGATTTTCTGTTTTTGATTTCAATTGCTGCAAGTCACATGATGGGTAAACCAATTTCTGCTTTTTCATTTTTTGTGTAATGATTTCACATTCCTGAAACTGCTGAGTCTGTCAGACCTGAGTCATCTTCCTCATGTGGGTTGACAACCACGAGCAGGATGTGACGCTAGTCAGTCTGCCTCCTCAAAGTGAATTTGGTTCTATTGACAGACCAAATGACTTGATGTATGTTTTTTTTTGTTCCTTTGTATGTAAGACTGCATGATTTTCATTAAAGTTCGTGCACCAGAGACCTTGGCTTTGTGAATTTTTGTAAACCAGGTGGTGTAAACTGTAGTCCTAACTCACCAGAACCTGTTTGGTCATACTCTTGTTGGGTCCCAAGTCTCCCAGAGGAGCCATGATTTCCATATTCAACATGGAGACCAACTTTCTAGCCATCAGCCCCTTTGCTTGCATCTTCACATCAGAAACACTGCTCTATAATTGGCTAGAGTTTTCCCTTTTTTAGTCAGATGACCTCACAACTGCTGCAGTAAACCAATGATTTGCATGGTGCTCACTGTGTTTGAAATGAGGAATAATTTTTACTTATGGGGATGGAAAGATGTGAATACCTCCTGTGTTAAGAAGGCTTTGCTGTGTTGTGCATGGATTTGGTTGGAGGGCTTTGATTGCTTTAGTTCTTCCTTCCCCATAATGTGTGGCTTATTTGGGCCCAGGCCCTAGTGCATGGAAGTTGTGGTTTGCATACAATGCACTGATGGCCAAACTTGAAACCACTGTACAATTTGGAGTAAATGGTTCAATATTTATTACAGGTACTTGTGAATATACAATATGAAAAGCACTTGTAAATTGACGGCATACATCAGTCCCTGACCTCAAGTAGCTTACAATTGAAGGTCCCTAACCAATTCATACATACTAGGGCTGATTAACCTACCAGAAGCCAATTAACCTACCCAGAGGAAACCCACACAGGAAGAACATGCAGACTCCATGCAGCACTACACCAGCAGTTCTGGATGTGCATCTGACTGATGGGTTTTGATGATTTTCATGGCTCCTCTCACTTTTCTAAAATGAGGAATCCTATTGTCATATGATGTGAATAAGTACATAGCACAGTAAAGCCCTCTTAAACAGAAGATGTGTAAACAGGAAAATGGATTCCACTTGGTGAAACAGCTAGTATTAGACATGACAAACTTCAATATGTAAAGTTTGCTGTAAATTTGTCTTAGGTGAGTTCCCCATCTACATGTTCTGGTGCAGTTTGATTGGGGAAAGTCCTGGGTGTGCGGTCTTTGTGGCTTCCAAGATTGATGCTACACAGAACTCAACAGTAATGGCTTAAATGTTCCATGCATGAAGCACATTCTACCCACACATACTGTATTCATATATGAATGGGATCTTGGTGAGGTCAGGCAGTTGAGTGGCCATTAGGGTCCTCGCCTTACATTGGGGACAGATGGTGTCCATGCTCTTGACTGCAGTTATTATAGAGCAGGAGTCAGCAACTTGTAGATTACAGCCAGGTGACTGGTAGATTGGCTTGCTGACCCACCATCCCAGAGCATCTGAATGTAATACAGAGGGACTACTTGTAAAATTGGTGCTATAGTAGGGAGCAAGAGCTGCATAAGCTGAGGCCTCCTCTGGTATCACTCCACATGGGACAGGAGCTGGCACTACAAACGCACTCCATCTCTTATCCCAGTGAGTGGTGCCAGCAGCAGGAAAGATTTTCAGGTCAATGTATAGCAATACACTGGGCATAGTAGCACAGAGCTGCTTTCACACTGATGTGCTGCAGTTTGCCCACACCGTGGGAGCAGTGTACCAGACACTTTGCTGCACTTAGCCATAGACTGCCGCCATATCCTGCACTTTTGGTGCACTTCCTGAAAGCACACAAACTCCTGAATGCAGGAACGTTGGTGAACTTCCAGGAATTGCACCACACCTACAGGACATAATAGAAGGTTAAAGCACAACTAACCCAGGAAAGTTGCAGATGCACTGGGGATGTAGGTAAACTGCCACATCCGGCACAGCTAACCCAGGAAAGTCGCAGATGCACTGGTGATGAAGGTGATGAAGGTAAACTGCCACATCCGGCACAGCTAACCCAGGAAAGTCGCAGATGCACTGGGGATGAAGGTAAACTGCCACATCCGGCACAGCTAACCCAGGAAAGTCGCAGATGCACTGGGGATGAAGGTAAACTGCCACATCCAGCACAGCTCGCAGATGCACTGGGGATGAAGGTAAACTCAGGAAAGTCGCAGATGCACTGGGGATGAAGGTAAACTGCCACATCCGGCACAGCTAACCCAGGAAAGTCGCAGATGCACTGGCGGTATAAGTAAACAGCCACATCGGTGTGAAAGCAGCCTTAGGGGGCTCAGAATGGTAATGGTTTAAATTTAAAGATTGGTAAAACCCAATAGTGAAGACATGTTTTTACCATCCCAGCCCAACTGCAACCCCCCTTTAGCTGCAGTGGCCAGGGGTGTATACATGTCACAGCCGCAGGAGTTTATACACCCGGTCATGGTTGGTGGGTGTAGCACCTGCCAAGCATGACCCATTCAAGTGAATAAGGCCGCTCTGCAAGTGCCCTGCAACCTTGTGCAGTACAGCAAACAAGGGGTTAAAGCAGGCAGCACTGTTTCTTTCTCACACCTGCTTGAACCCCACAGAAGCTTGCAGAGTGGCCCCATTTACTTGAATGGGTCGCAATTGGCAGGCAGTAGCACCCACCAGATACAGGTTAATTCCAGCTGTCGTGTACACCTTTTTGGCTGCTGCCTCAGCAGCTAAATGGAGTAGTGATTGGGGTGGTAAAACCACAACTCAACCACAGGGTTTTTACTACAAAGTGCCACTGTTGAATGCAACTAAGGGCTCATTCATAAGTGCAGCAGGCACTGCTGTTCCTCTGACAAGTGATCTGACTGTTTGACAGGCGGTGAGCAGGTGATATGTTGCCTCCTCACCACATGATTTTAACCCATGATTGCCATGCAATGCACACAAATGTGACACGATAGTACAGCAATTTAGAGGTTTAAACCAGGTGAGGGGACATGGTGCCCGGTGATCATTGACTTCTCTCATGTTCAGGTAGATCTCCTCTAAGGTTGCCTACCCCTGTCATAGAGCCACTTTAAGTTGCAAAAGTTGTGTGAAAATTTATTCATTAGAACTGAATAGATATAGCTGGTGAGCTTTCACAATTTTGTATTTCAGTCAACCGTTGTCCAACACATGCCCATCTGGCAGACTTCAGCCCCGGATCCTTGAATCCCAGTGAAGTTGAGCAGTGCAGCTTGGTCTGGAACCCCTGATTGGACATTGCAAAAGAGGAATACCTAGATCTTGATGTGACCAATCATGTTAAAGTAAACAAAGGGGGGTGGAATGGCTAGTTGCTTGGATGCTATTTTGACCCTCTAGTTTTAATTTCTGGATCACTGTCCCAGAATAAATATGCAGTTCAGGAAATCAGTCCTCATCTGCATACTTGTCCTTTTTTGGGGATGGTGATGTACAGTATTGAGGGATCATTGTGACAGCCAGGCTTAACCTTCAGAGGTCTGCAAATGACAGTCTGAAGGTTCTCATTGATCCAAGACATACGCTATCTAGCTAGCTGGTCACATTCAACTGGACTTGTTCTTGACATTTTGCAGCTTCTCCAAACCAGTTTGGTTCTAATGAGCATCAGGAACAGTGGTGCATTTATCACAAGGCATTTGCCTAGGGCGGCATTTTTCAGGTGGGCAGCACTGCCTCCCAAAAGAAGGGACACACGCAGCATGGGGACCAAGTGGGATCTGAGAGGCTTCGGGCTGCTTGATGTATGCAGAGCCTGACTCTTGTTCCTGGGGATGTCCGGAGCTGTGGAGGTGAGTGTCTTCACTCTTGCCAAGGTGTGGGGGGAAATTGCCAGTGTATGGGGGGGCTGGGCTGTTGGTCAATGTCAGGTTCTCTTTGTGCGGGAGGGAGATGTTGGTCGGTGTCAGGTTCTCTCCATGGGGGGGAGGCAATTTTTGTGTTGCCTAGGGCAGCACAAAACCTAAATACACCACTGGTCAGGAAGATACCCCAGTATTTTATACCCACACAGGTAGCACAGATGCCTTAATCCA